AGAATGATTGGGCATAACTATGAGGAGGTCCGTGGTCGAGCAGTGGACTATATTCCCAACCCTCCATTGCTTAAATTGGACAGCTTGGAAGCACTTGCCATCTTCTAAGCGAAACAACTGATTCACTGGGCAGACAGTGCACAACCACCTAGTACAAAATCAGTGGCCATCAACAATGGTGTGGCCTATTTTCACTAATTAACATCATCTTTTATCTAACTGACCATCATTGTCCTTTCTTTAAATAAATGCACATTAGTATCACTACTCCTTTGTGTCAAAGTAATCAGGAATTAAAATGTGTGATCATATGTCTAATGGGCTGAATCATCGATATTTTAAGTGTGAGTAGGTTTTGGGAAGGGAAGCGAGGCTTTCATGAATGATATTCCGAGTATTTTACGGTACTTCTGATTCCTGACGACAAACTTTTATCTACATTTGCACCCACCATACAGATCGACTGGCTCCATGTTCAGAGCTTGGTGAAGAGTGTAACAAAACTTTCTTCAAAAGATGCTGCCGAAACTACGTTTGTGACTTGGTATCACCTTTCAGGGGAACTTGCATTGACTGCTATCCTCTTAACCATACTTGCGTGAAGAATTCAGAATGCTGCAGTAGCCATTGTCATCTACTTCGTTGTGGGTGGAGCCGCATGCAAATGGTTTCTTAAACTTTTACAATAAACGCCATTTCACTAACTCCAGCATGGCTGGTGTTCTTTGATTTCACACTAGCGGGCCGATACACTCATGAACATTGTTCACCTGCGAAATTCAGCGGTAAAAACCCAATCGCATTAAAGTAGGGTAAATAGAAAATGGATTTTAGATTGGACGGAATAAACGTTTATGGGTAAACTGAAAGTGACCAGACAAACGCGCCTCCTTTTTCCTTGAAAATAAAAAGTTGTTTCAATTTCCAATCTACCATCATTCCATGATGCAGTCGGTTGTTTCATTCCAACAACTGTCAGCGTTTTGAGAAAGGTTACTTTGAGTAGTTGCTTTCCACCTTTGAACGGCCCTTTTCCTCCCCAGATCCAATTATTCCGATCAGTGGACATCATAACAGGGAGCACTGAATTGCTAATAAACAGTGCATGAACGCGGTCACGTCGGTGTCCGAACTACGGATGTCTTACATGCAAGGTCACCATGATGTGATAACCTCACAAAAACATGGTGGTTGCACCTGATCTATTTCGTCCAGTTTAAGAAAAGTACCGCGGTCGATCATACTTTCCAAAATGTTTTTAACATCTGCGGTATCATCAAAATGGTAAGTACAGAGAGGCCCACCAACCGATCGTGTACTCATCCGAACCAATCAGCTGGCCTATCACATCATTGAAGACCCATCTTGTTTCTCTCTTCAGAAATGATTACTCAGGTTTCGCCAGTTAGTACTCATCCATCACGTTAGAAATCCTGATCCCCAGCTTTTATCCGGCTACGGATGTGTTCTGCTAGCAACAACAAAACTCGAGTCCCATAGTCCTCGTTTGGGTGTGAACTGAAGAGCCATGACAGAAGGACAGCTGTGCAAATGAAAGTCGAATGAAAACGAACTATAATAAGGTATCTTGGTGTCCGAAACTCAACCACCATGTATTACTGTCTATCAAAACTGCTAGTGAGAGATTTAACGAAAAGAAGTTTTGAACCAGCCAAAACCCCTAGTAGCCTTATCACAAAAGAAAACATCTCATAAGAATTTGTCACTTGTGGAACCAGCAAACTCCAAATAGCTTGGCTGATGCGTGTGATTCAAGAATACTCGCGTTTAAGCTGAGAGTATCCAAACTCTTCATGGAATAGAGTTCAGACTACTATGACAATTCTCTTTAGAGATTTGTGAGATATTCACTTCTAAGCATGGAAGATTGGGCTGCTTCTGGTCTTTATAGCATAGGTTTTCACCTGAGAAATGATATCCCTGTTTAAAAAGACCTCAAAACTTGCATTATAAGTGCGATTTTAAATAAACTCAAAACGTGGTTATCCTGCCCGTGTAAGAAAAAACAGCGTAAACTGCCTCCATGAGACACCTACTTTTCAGAGGGTGAGTAACGTACCATTTTTAGCAGTTGTTCATGTTGACAACGTCTAAATACTGGTAGCAGCGGTTCGTTAACTGACCGTTGACCATGAAGTATCTGATTTGATTGCCGAGACGTTTTCATCAGTGCGCAATGATAGTATCTACTTGAATGCTGACGAAACGTTTGCAAGCTAATTGCACAACTCGGCCAACAGACTAACTGCAGTTGTTCGTGTGATTCAATTTCACTCACAGAACCAGACGATTAATTCTACCAGAGGAAACTATTCATCAGTGAATAGGCTGGCAAATATTTTTATCCGAAATTAAAACATAGGTATACCGATGTTGAATCCGGTTGGGCATTACAGTCAGCAAATGAGCAAACTTTTTCCAGTAACTTGACAGATCCACGAGAAGTTACGTGATAGCATGCAAAAGCTTGCAAGGTCATTTTCACAGAGAAAGGAAAATAAACTACGTTTAATCATAGTACTGTGTTATGAGTAGCGTCATAGTAAATCAATTGTAGCAAGCTTTCGTCAGCGATCAAGAGGACCGCTTCCTGTATACTCTAAACACACGACATTGGTTTCTTCTCCAAGGATTCGCTTTTCGCATCTTAAACGCGAGTCTACTAGAAAAGTGAGCGAATATTTGAATTACAGTTTTCTCTTGCTCCTATTTTGGTTGAGTTGGCTTGGTATGCTTGCCCAAATTAAAAGGTTGTCGATTTCAGTGTTTTCAAATTTAAAGCTCCAAGCTAGACTACACTTTTATATCACTTCAAGGGCTTCCATGCTTAATCTGCCCGGTCGATGCTTTGATCCAATTAGCCTGTGTACCTACAAAACGGAACACAAATCGATCAATGCGCAGACAAGTAACTGTCAAACGATTAATATACACGCTGAAATCACTCAGGTTTTGTCGCGTTTTGCTGTCTACTAATGCAAGATTGTGTCCTGAATGATAACTCTGTGGTAAAAGCGATGTCAATGATATTATGATCATTAGTGAGTAATATGCTAGTGGTAAGGGTCCTAGGTTTCCTGTAGAGATTAAAAAGTTTTGGCTCTACTTATGGGTTTTCTGTTTTCTACTCCGATTTTTCTCATTCATGGTACCGTTGCGCTGGTATACAGGAGGACCTTTCCGACTGCTTTATTCAAACTATGATTTACGACTAGTTGGTTCGTGCACTTGCATTTTAAAAATAAGTTACCGATCCACTATCAAAGCGTGGATGTCTATTTTATCACCTGAAGTTGTGCAGCAGAACACACAGGGAGCAGGACGAAACACCTAAACAAAAAAGTAAACAAAAAGTAAGTAAGTAAAGTAGTTGACAACCACCTTGGAGGAGATCAATTACTAGCACACTGGTCGGTCACTCGACTAATACGAGTTATGTGGTCAATCCCAGCACTGTTTTTCGAATAGTGTATTGGGTGCCTATCTATCTACCAAGATATGTTGAACATTAATGTTTGGCCACAGCTGAGGCGATTGCAAATCTTCGACGCGACCTGAGTCTGTGCATTACGAAAGCCTTCATGTGAGCACTGAGAGTCCCATGGTCTGCTCACCTGATCGTTGGTCACCCAGGCCCACTATCGTGATGTCAACAGTTCACACACTTACTTACACACTTTGCTTCATCTTTATTTCATCCTCACCCTCGGACTTGATTGACCGGAAGGAAAGGTTGCGAGAACTGATAATTCGGGAAAAAAATGAAAAACAAACAACTCATATAAATAAAACAATCTAAAGCGGCGTTTGAGGGTAAAATTGTGAAACTGCTTACATTGCGACCAATCGGCCTGAGTGGCCAACGCTCACGCGATCAGGCCATGGAAGACTCAGTGTATAGGGGACGCTGTCTGAGTAGATGAGCGAATCGCAGTTGTCTCAAACGTGACCAGATATTGATACTGAACGGATCTTGGTATACAGATTTGCGCTCTATACAGTATTCAAAAAGTAATGTCAGGATAACTCGCGTGACTAGTAAGTGATCAAAGCGCTAGCAGTAGACCGGATTGACTCAGATGTCAGGCAAAAATGGGTTGTGATCCTTTATTCTCTTCCGTGCGCGCTAAGCATACCACTGTCCAACAGCAGGTGCAGGACTAGATTACTATGCTTTGAACATGCACAGCTTATCCATGGGATGCAGGGGCATCAGCCGAGTAGCTTAGAGTAACTTTTTCAGTGAAGCGGCCGGAAGGGGTCGCCGAAGTGTGTAATGTAAACCCAGTGAGACAGTCTGCGGTTAGGTCCCCTTTGAACAGACGACTGATGAAAACTGATTTTCTTTCGTTTGTAAATGGTTTTTTAGTTGTGACAGCCATCTGTTTTGAGATGAATCTGTCTGTATAATCATTTTGACGAATGATTTTTATCTAAAACCTGAAGTTTGGCCTAAAGTTCGCGTAAGAGAAATCAGCAAGGTGGTGAACTAAAGTTTGTTTACGTCCCAGTGGAACAAAACTTAGTGGAGTTAGTTTCTTGTCACGTACAAGTCGGTTTTCGGCAAACCCAATGTTCAACTGCGCTCCAATAGAATGAATAAATAGATGTGCATGATTAAAATCCGTTAAAATCTCCAGTATCCCTGGGAACTTGTCTCCGCTTAGATTACTTGATCGTGACATAAAACGGTCCACGCTTCAACTCGCAGACTCAAATGTATCCGTGCTCCACTTGTCGGGATCGATCGTTCTTCAGGTTTTTAACTTCTTAAGCTGTAAAGACTGCTTAGGAATTAATTTTTCATGAACTTGTGTTTTGAATTTCACAATGACCCTCGTGGTTGAAACCGACAATACTGGGATTGCAGTTCAAGTCCACTAAATTCCGTTCGTTCTCCTTCACTTTAAAAAAACCTAAATCCGTTCGTTCTCCTTCACTTTAAAAAAACTTGAATGAAAACTGAACACGGTAAAGTTTTTCATTAGTCTCCTCCTCACAAAAAACTGGCATTCGAAATTTTTGTAAGGTGACACAAAATGCGTTAAAAATGTGCAGGATATGGGATCTGGGATGCTTCACAATGTCAACGTGTAGAACGTTCCTGTCCAGAATGGCTGAAATTAGCTGGAGCTGGGAGAAAATGTACGGTGGAAAAGAAATAATATAAATAGGAAACAAAGAAGCTCCAGTGTATCGACTTTAGGTGATGGGACGGACACATTGCACCAGTCCCTGGTGCATGTGGCTACACAGCCAGTGTAAAGTTGATCGTCCAGGCTAAACTGACCACAGTGTGTCGGAACGTCAGCCAAGCGCTCCATTGAACATAGTCGGAGGACCAACGTACTGCCGTCCCTTTGATTGGTTCCTTTGATTTTAGAACAGAACCTTGCATAGAACAACCCCTCGTGATCCCTCACACTTTGTCTGCAAGGACGATAGATAGGGACATTTGCAGACATGGGGTCTTCACATTCTCGGTGACTGCCGTTGACTGACACGCACGAATAGCAAGCAATCGACTGCACTGGAAGATATCGAAGCATTAGAAAAATTAGCACTTGCACAAAAGGAACCTAGCAAAAATGTTGACTCTATTAAAAATTAAAAAAGAACAATTGTTCATTGAACATTTTTATCAATATAACCAGTGGCTGCTTTGCTACATCCTTATTTGAAGCAATATTTACTGACTGGACAAGGGTTACTAGCGGAACGATCTTAGCATTAAGGCAGGCTACTTGTTTCTCTTTTGACTTTTTGGGCATAATCTATGTTCATCAAAAGTGTGCGGTTAGGTTCACCTGTGAATCGATATTTCGTGTTCACCTGGTTGTGATGGACGCGAAAAAGGCTGAGAGAAATTTGCTTGGGAGTGACCGCATAATATGTAAGAAAATCCTCTCTTAGGATTAATGTCCAGGGAATTGTGATTTATCAAACCATCAGAGCGCTCGATAAAACTCTTTATCTGTTCCCGGTGCCATGACCATTCCGCCAAATATCTGTAACGTTCGTCCATCCGAAATTGGGGTGTATGTTACCACAAATCAGTGCACAGTCTAATTTTACACATGAAATCCACGTTTCATCCCCATCTGATTCACCGTTTGTGCTTTGTGTGAAGCAGTTTCAGCGTCATCTCATGCAATGCCTAACTGAGCCCTGGAGGACAGGCTAAGATGGCCACCAAACCACTGCTAGGTGCAGCTGATTAGCCTTCTCATGACCACCACCGGCCTACTTCAATCCTTCAGAGGCTAGAGTATCGATTGTCCGACACAAGCGCGCATTACTTGCCATGTTATCATACTGCACTGTTGCCGGCAATGAGCTTGTGTATTTGATAGAAAGGCATTTGGATGTGCCTGCTGGAAGCGCTGATTCATCTAGTGCACTAGCGGACCGATAAATGTGTTGACTTGTCATCAACAGGTATCCCAGTGATTAGAGTCGCAGACTACCTAGGTTCGAATCCTCTGAAAGGAGGCCATCAAAGTGGCTTAATATCCCACCTTCAAAATTGCGAACTCATATTGTTTCATCGACAACTTCCACTGGACATATTCGGATTGCTGATCGATAACAATATTTTACGTAGTTCCACAATATAGAGTCAGTAGCCTCTCGAGACTCTTAGTGGGTGAAATAATATCACCTAATGGATTGCAGCATGAATGCGGACTTTATGGGAAGCGCTAGTGTGTTTGCTTTTCGTAAAGTGACAATTTTTATACAAACATTCCACGCAGTTGTATATTCCCAGTTTAGCTCTCGGTCTGAACCTCGCAAGCTAGCATTCTTGGCAAAAGAACCAGCAAGGACGCGCAACATGTAATAACGCCACAAACCAGGTCATGAAGTGTATGCGGCGACAACATTCCGGAAATTCTGACGCGGCATTTGCAACCTATATTCGGCAGATACTGGATCATGATTGGCTGCTGAGTTCAGACTTTCGACCAGCCAGAGCTCGTCTTGATGTTGTACCGGCAGGCGGTCCAGTCTCTTGGCCAATCGCTTGCGAGATAGACATCTTGGCCGTAGCAGCGCCTAACTGTGAACGGTGAAGCGGTATTGGTGCGGGATCCCGCCTAACAAGAGGGATGTCTGAAGTTCGGTTTTTTTTCTGATCAAGAGCTATTTCTGGCTCCATGATATTCGTTCGCAAATGGGTGGATCAGGTGGTATTCGAACGCTTCATTGCTAACTGCCCAGCGGCTTAATTGCCTGATCCATCCAAATATTCGTAAACAATGCCTTCCAAGCGAAGCTCAACTTTTAGTTTAGCAAAGTTATGTCAAACAGGTCAGATAAATTTAGGAAAATGTTCTGGAAGCTGTTCGACATAAAGATCGAATATGTGTGTATGAGATGCTCCCCTATCACGGCGCCTATGAAAAAGTGCGGAAGGATTATCTTTCCTCTTCAGAACGCATAATACTTCTGTAAACTTAACTACTTCATCAGTTTTGGTCTTGCTTGAGACTTAGGCTGCAAAATCGATTACTGCGTGAACAGTGCCCACAAGACTACAGGGGGTTCCTGGTGAATGTAAACAGCTAAAATTGGGTAAACATAATCGTGCCCTGTGATAAGCTAGTAAAATCCATTGTTACGCTATCAGTCCAAGAACAATGAGTACGTCATTTCGGTAACAGTGTTGCATAGTAAATCAGTGATAGAGAGTACAAAAAAGCCTGAGTAAGGATATGTTGTCGACAGGAAAAGGTTGATGACATTAGTTGTGAGGAGTTGAAGAGATATTTTATCAAGCATTCTGTTGACATTTATACACGTGACCTCATCCCAGTCCTTTGTGAGGAGGTAGCAGACGAACTCGCGTTACCGAGGAAGATAAAGAACAGCTTGAAAAACATTATGCCAACATAATAAGTACGATTTAGTATTCCCGCAAGAATTCCGTTTTTGTAACCTACTAATTGAAAGAATTCCCCAATCCATTCATCTCCAACAGGATGAATGATTCTGATAGTGCGCGTAGGGTAATGATATCGCTATCAAATCGTATGTTTAAGTTACCATACTTTACACAGCGGCCTTTTCGCCTACAAAATCCAGCCTCATGTACGGACTGGTGGGTTTGATCCGGTGTTTACTCAATAATTTGATAAGTTTACAAAAGTATGCGCATTATTCGCTGAAGCTCTTCGCTTGAGTTCAGAGTCAGTATGTCTGTCTGGATATCGTGTGCGTTTAGGAATTACGCTCAGCCTTATTGGAACGGTCGGACACGAATAGCTCATATACATATTTTCCCCGATTTCTAGTGTTAAACACACCAAGGCGAGGTAAGGCCTTATTGGTATGTTGGTCAACTTGAGGACATCTACTGACTCAAACACTTCAAAAATGCTCCTTTCTGCCAGCCCAACCAACAAATGATCAAACATTCTTCGATAGTCAATTGTAAACTGGAGTAAAAGAAGTAGTCATATACTCATAGCATTGAAAAACTCTATATGGTAATCGTTTTCATCTTTGGCCTTACGTCTGGCATTTCCTGAATCTTATAGTTATTCACGGTGATCACCTTCAATATTTCCCGTTCGTAAGTAGAAAAGAGAAAAGAAGCTGACTACCAAATAAAGAAATAGCCTCCTACAAAGGAAGAAAATCAGTAAGTTATCACCATTCACCCCATAATAAGGCTCGTGACCCTAGTGTTTTTGACGAACTTGTGCTAGACAATTCAGGTTTAATGTATTTGGTATCATACAATCGCGTGTATTAAACAGCTCGTAGGCGTCTCAAACCAAAATCCTGAGCTTTTGCACGTGTTTGTCTAAGACTAACTTATTAGTTTCACCAAAGTGATAAGAAGTCGGTAGGTGGCCTAGCACAAGTCACACATCATGCCACTGATCAGCTCAAGTCACTTACTGGTTCAGTAGGAAACTGAACCGTCAGACGCAGATCCATACATAAAGTATGCGGACTACCTTGGTAGGATTGTGTTCGATGTGGTTACATTGAACAGAGTCACTGGTGGCTGTTTGGTTCAGAATGAGGCCCGTCGTTTAAGCATGATTAAAACTGTTAATGCGATGAATTCTTGCCGTATTCCAAGTTAGCCATGAGAAGAATATTGCGGAGTTTCTCTCAAGTGTCTTTAAATTGGATTACAGCTGTTTGATTCTGATCAACAATTAATTCTGTGTATTATATTTTGAAATTAAGCCGTAAGAATTATGATCTGTTTCGCATTCCATTGAACACATTTGTGTGACCTCAACCAGATTCATCGACGCGCTTCACAGAGAGAAAGCTGGGTCTTCATTGCAATTCTCCAGCCGTGCGGACCGGGTGTGACTGCCTGGAGCTGTTTGAAATGATCGCCTGATCGACTACCTTCATCATCACCACCATCGTCATGATCATCATCATCATCATTATCATCATCATCATTGACAGCAACACCAAATGAGAACACTGGGGCTTCACTACCGTACATCTGACTACTTTATGCTCACCTGATGAGTCCTAAGAGGGAGAGCGGTATTCAGATGGCTGAGCCTCTGTCGATCAGATCAAATGTTTACGATGTTAGACCTCTAGGCTGGAATTTACCTGAATGGCTATAAGAAATTGTGCATAGTGAAACATCAGACAAACATTGAGACCATCTGAGCTCAACGATTTTGGCCTCGGTATTTTCAGGTCCTCTGAAGGTTTCGGCAACCATTTCACGGGTAGTTATACACTTATCTTAATAACTCAACTCAAGATTCAAATATACTTCAATGCATACAGTCGTACAATCGGAAGACAGGTTCTTGGTCCCGATACACACACCCCGAACCTCTTAGACATAAAAATGATAAGATAAGGATAAGGTTGATGTTGTATTTAATCTGGACTTGTTACCCATCATCAAAATTTCCCCGTCGCTTCGACAGTGAATTCGAGAGAGATAGGTCATCGAAAGCAGTTGAGTCGATTGGTACTCCTATTGGGGTTAGCATTGTCACGGCAGTCCGCGTGGAGCCGGATTGATTGCTACTTGCGAGCCACAGACAATGCCACTTAAACTCGAGGGAATTAGAGTGGTGGTTGAACTGAAATTCTCTAGTCTGTGTGAGCAGGGCAACCTAAAACGATGCACCTTTGTCTCCAATATTACACTACCAGGACACGGGTTACGTCGGTAGAATAGACCAGTATACATGCAAGTACGTGGTCTGTAGGCAATTCATACTCTGAAGATGGGCATCGATTTAACGTAAAGGTAACACTACTTACAAAAGTAGTTTCAGATGTTTTCGTAGAAATTCGGTGAGTAGAACCGACAGTCCCGCGCGATAAATCAGTTTAGAACCCGGTACGCTAAATCTGCTACAACACAAGATCGACTAGATTGAAGGTAACTTGTTTTTTGAACCAAGTCCAATAAGAATTAGCCAGAAAGATATCTTATGACATACTGAATACTCGACAAGCAAGATTTACTCACAGTTTAAAAAGTTGAAACGCAATGCACAAATGCCCTTCTGTAATGGCAGTTTATAGGAATTTCTTCCAGAAATCGCCTTAAACCACTGCAAAGAAAGGGCCAGTCACTAAAACACAAAATAAGATCAGTAACTCCGTGCTTAGTTTTACACTGAAGCTTCCCCAGACTACCCATGGAAGTGTGTGGACGGAATGACTTTCCGTTTAGTGGATAAGTGCATTTGCTCATCCAGAGATGACAGACGAACGGTCACCATAGAAATGGCTACCTATTCTGACAGGCCTTATTACATCAGAAGTTCAGAGGTATGTAGTGGAAGGCGTCCTAACTCTTCTTAGCACGAAAATAATTCCTTGAGGAAGCGTCATTCCGCGGGAAGATTTGACTAATTCGAGGCTGCAGATTTTTTCGGTTCTTGGTTTTTCTACAGAAAGTATATTCACTTAGATGTTTTTACCGTGGTCCTGGGCATTTTTGTCTTAAAAACTAACTCAAGCAATCCAGTTTTCAAATAATCTTCTGATTGCACATGATTATGATTGGCTAGTGATTTCCAAAAAACTAGGGGGAAATCGGTGTTCGTTTTTATTATAGATTGACCATGTTCGGTGCTACTTAGGATTGGTGAAAAGTGGACACCATAGATGGGTCATTTCGAAGGCACCTGAAATATAAATTTCGGATCTGAATTTGCCAATAACAACTTAATATGGACGAAAACAGGAACTTTGCGAAAGCAAGCTTCACTAAAACCGGATCCTGTGTCAAATACACAACATAATCGCTTGAAGTAAAGGCCCATATGTGTAAACTGACCACAGTGGACATTATGAGGCCGATGAATGCAGCTGAGAAGAAAATTTCTGAAGAGTCTCACTCATAAATGAATGCCGCGCTGTTTTGCCGAATGACAAACGGTTGTAGATACATAAAAGCTGCTTGTGCATATAAGAAGCGCTTACGTACACGAAAGATAGAACACTGTACAAACCACTTACCTGGAAATTTCGTACAATAATATCCGGTAAACTTCAAGTTCCTATTAAAGTAAAAATCCTTACGGACTGGTCCGAATATGCCTAGGGAAGAACATGAGGATGCAAGTCCACCGATACCCTAGGTTGCTTGGATAGATTGTTCACTCAATTAAAACTGATATACAAAGGATGGTACGATGAAATGGTTAGCCGGAGGTTCGGAGATAAATATTAAATGCTGACATGAGCTCTCCCTCTTACTGCTGTTATTTTGTTGGTACAGGGGGTGGCAACTAAATAGTTTTGTAGTCCACAGTTGCAGAAGCACAACATAATGGAACTCCTTATTTGTTATAATCCTCTATGAAGACTGATCAATAAAAATGTCTCCGTGATTCCTTTTTCAGACACAGAGTGAACATTGTCAGAATAGAATGCACACGATGTCGACCACACGATATGTCTTGCATATCTCCGTCTCACCTTATTCCGACGTTAGGGAATACATTAGACTGAATTTGATGGTATAAGCCTGTGACAACCGCATCCGACCTACTGTGTCCGAAACACTTGAATTACCGAACTACTTTGAGTAAGAAATCAAAACATCTCTATTCTTTTCTAAATATATCATTCAACACGCCTTACTACAATTTATCAAATTGAACCCCACCAACTTTCTACTCATCCTTGAGTTTGCGTTTGATAATTCGGTATATTGAATCATAGTGTTGTCACCGTACGCTGCTACGGTTAACGATGCGACTGGATACCAATTTAACGAACAAACATTTTCCCATAATTATTGTGCCGGGTGATGTATAGGAAAGCAATTGTATGTCGGTAAATACATGTCCTCGTCTCACTGACTATATAGGATACATATATATAGTGTACTTTAACAAGTATTTCAGAGGTATTTATTTCCGGAAACAGTTTCCCATTTGTGCTTTCAAGTGACGTGATCACCTACCACGTTCACTTTCTTCGTGTCTTCACATCCCGGTCACTTTACGTTGGAGAAGATCAAAGTTAGTCGTTGGAGGTTGACGAAATAATATCACCCTTAATACGCAAATTTTTCATTAAATCTTGCCGTCTTCTTTTGTTTTTTTATTTCAAGTTATCTATTCTACTACTCTCATCGTACCTCACGAGGATTCATGAGGAAGGTAAATGATTTGTTGTACTCATTTGGTTGCAATTCCTCTGCTATCTATTCGGACATACTTTGGTGATTATTTACTTGCGATTCTAGGTGACACGACCATGTGCAGCGAAAGGTACTCTGTTTTTGAAGACTCTGCAGGGTTTCGACGGTCATCAGGGTCAGTCAGAATTAACCTCTTGTTAAGTCATCCCGATCACGGTGACAGGTGATATACTGTTCACCCTGAACCACCTGCAGATTGATATTATTTTTTACTCTTATCGTACCTCACGAGGATTCACGAGGAAGGTAAATGATTTGTTGTACTCATTTGGTTGCAATTCCTCTGCTATCTATTCGGACATACTTTGGTGATTATTTACTTGCGATTCTAGGTGACACGACCATGTGCAGCGAAAGGTACTCTGTTTTTGAAGACTCTGCAGGGTTTCGACGGTCATCAGGGTCAGTCAGAATTAACCTCTTGTTAAGTCATCCCGATCACGGTGACAGGTGATATACTGTTCACCCTGAACCACCTGCAGATTGATATTATTTTTACCTGACCGGTGAACTCTGTTGACTCTTCTGAATGTTGAATGTACCGTAAATACTGTAATCAAGTAGACTTCTAGAACCAGTGACTTATGAGTGGGATACACGCCTCTGGATAGCCTGTTTCCTTTGTAACGCACTTTTGAAGCACGTGAACAAGTATGTTATACGCCAGAATGGGCAGTTGTGTAATCCAAAGCTAACTGACTCACCTGGATCAAAACTCAGGATCACTAAAATGAAAGGCACGATAAACAAATTCCTCTGAAGAACTGATAGGAATAATTGTTGTAAAGTTAGCAAACCACACATCAATTCACTGTGTCTTAGTAATCAAATTATCATCAATAAATTTATTTCCTTTGTCGGAGCAGCTTCACGAAAGCATTGTCCACCGCCGGATCGATTCCGGACGCAAGCTAATACGGCCTTGAGGTGGGATTGATATGTCCCAGCGCAAAACGATCCAACCCACGGACAGGATGGCTGTAGGAGTGAGAGATAAACACACTTCGAAACGCAGATTGGGCAAACAGGTGGCCGTCCTGTCTGTTCCCTATTTCTGTCTTCCAATGCGCGCGTGTCACTGTGCCCATAAACCTGAAGCGACATTAGGTTTCCACTCGCGCGCAGGCGCGCGCACACGAACTGGCAAAAAAAGCTCGCTGATATTTTGACCTGCAGGTCAGCATGCGACCAGGAGACCTGGCTGCTTACAATTAGTATCTAAACTACGTATTTTGATGAATTTTTTGGAAGTATACATTTCTGGACCTTAGCGACTGCCAGAATTCACACTTGCCAGTTAGACTAAACGAACCAGAAGTATATTGGTCTTCTTCAGCATGGGAGGACTTGATGGCATTCTGACGACTGAATTCTTGTGAAAATCTTGCTTCTTCATCAACAAGGTCAGATTACCTCATCCATCTGAAGAGAAACAACCGCGAGGGAAGGGGATTTTTGAACTCTTCTGGGTGGTGAGGAGGACATAAATGCGCACCCTTTTCAGAATAGAGCCCACAACACTGTACCAGGCCGAAAAACCCCAGTGAGAGCTTGCGGTACCTCCAAAATCCTTCGCTTGACAGTGCCTCCTAGTATGAATATAGTCGCACACCCTCTGGGTACTACTTCATTTAAGTACATGATCCGTTTGTTGCTTTGAAGTGAACCGGCCGAGTTACTCGGTGGTATGAATGGTGTCTGCTAACGTTAATTGTGGTAGCTTACGTCTAATTGTCGTTTTAATCTTGGACGAATTGTGTATCCTAAGATCGTACGAATGTAAGCCTAGAATCAGTAGCGAATCCGAATCGCCATAGCTGTGTTCTCAAACCCGCTAACCCGAAACCAAGGCCAGCAAAATTTCACTGAGAACGAATTATAACATGGCAGACGAAGGGAGAGCGGCTACAGATAAGATCTTTGGTATCTCTGTTTCTCTTTTCCCTAGAAGAGATGATAACTAACCGGTCTGGTGATAGACAATGTTATTTGTTCTCCGGACAATCCTGCCAAACTTTGCTGTCGATATGCGCAACGTTTGTGCGTGGGAAGCTTCAAAAAGTGTGTTGGATATTACTCCAACCCAGTCTTGGCTTTTTACACCAACATAATGCGCAAAAGTCCACTTCTAAAAACGTGTTCAACCTATCCTCCAAAAACTCTCTTAGGAAACCAGGCTTCCATTTACTCAGCCCGTAATCTCCTAGTTTCCTTTAGTTTTTCATGGGGCCATCTTTACCCATTGTTCTAGTGTTATCAGGTGTCAGAACTTAACAATATCGGTGAGGAATCAGTCTCGACTACCAAACTAGATATTGTTCACCAAAAACGCCAGGAAGCGCACAAAGACTCGACCAACTATGACACAATTACTAATGCTCGAATCGAGAAACCCAAGTAGCAGTGTCGGCGGACTTTGAGGTGTTCGGATACCATCAGTTTTTCTGGATTTGAACCAGCGCCGTAAAATTTGCAGTCCGGTTTCTGTGACATTTCTTGTTGTGCCCTCTCAGGGGATCCAGATCTTCCAGCTCACTGTGTACTCAGAAGATGGGTGCCCTCCTCTCAGTGTGCTTTGCTAGAAACTCCTGTAAACGAATATGATCCACGAAACTTACTTCAATACAGCATGTGTCATTAAAATGCTACGAGTGATTTGAACTTTATCGCTGTTCAGCAATCAGCCTAAAGTACACACTTCAAGATACATATTAGAGTGATTTCTACCATGCATATTCTTCAGGGCATGCCCTTAATTTCAACTCATTCTGCCTTAAGTTCCAATGTCAAAATTTTCGAGTATAATTCTTATGGAGATTGTTCAACCTCAAGGCTTTGAGGGAAACCAATCTCGAATGAATAAACATGTCTTTATCATGCTTTCCGCTAAACGTTGTTGGACGTATCTATAGGCATCTTAAGGTGAATGCTTGCGTTCATCACGACAATACCCATAAAGGGATAGACATTTTGATCAAAATGTATTTACTATGTGAATATTTATCCTTATCATAAAACCATCTGGAAGAGACAGATGCTGTCACTGGTGAATGACAGTGAAATTCCATGACTTTGAGCTTCAAGGGAAGTGTTATAATATGAAATGAACCTGCTATACAGTCTTAAAGATCTAATTTATGGTGCGTCCTAATCAGTGGAGACATTTTGATTTTACATGCAGAAAAACACTACCTCAGTCTTTATCTATCGTTGCTTTTGCGTTAGAAATTCGAGGGGGTGGAGCATTATACAAACCGCTGAGGGGAACCCAAACTCAGGAATAGTGGCCATGAGTCGGCTGTGTAGACGGGCGTACTTATCCCTCGTGTATAATATAAATTTGAGGCCGAATTGCTGTACGCTCCGGAGGCTGTTATGATTTACTGAGACCGTCTCCTTACTTCAAACCTGGACACTTGTCGTGCGTTCACGAATTCCTTGGAAGCTCAGTGTGGTGTCCTTCACAACTGGCTCGAAAATCTTTCCCGAAAAATTTACGTGTAGTTTTAATTCAGCGGATTAAAATCCTTCTCGCTTTTGACGTAATATGTTGGAATTAAACAGCAGTTTCTTCGGTATATTTCCTGGAAACCTAAACCAACAAACCTGAATACCCGAAATGTTCTTTAGTTATGCCGATACTTTTCGTTCTTCTTCTTGATTCAGTTCAAAGCATTAGTCAGTCATATCCACCCAACTGTCTTGAACATTCTGACTGTCACTGTGGAGGCAACCACAGTGGCTTTTGGCACAGAAAAATATGAGAAAGCTGAAATTTTATTTTACATTTTTCATCTTGTGGAGAATACCATCAAGCAACTCGATCCACAACAAACAGTATTTCTCTCCGAAGGAGAAATTATTCTTTGGAGGGGCTGCGCAAGTCATAGTAAATCATAATTTTTGCAGCTAGAAACGTAAAATGACTAGAAGACCGCATAAACACTGCGAAGAATAGCCAATATAAGAAAATACTAGTTTCCTGCCATAAATGCGAGTTTAACTTGGTATTAGGATTATGAACAATGTGGACGTGACCGGCCATCTCACTGAAACGGTCAGCCAAATATACAGTAAATACGTCTACGCTGTTAGCGAATCCGTTTCTGTTGGCGAGCTTATGAATAAAGTAGGTGAATGATTGAAGGCTAGTCTGAAAAATTACAGGTAGTCCGAGTTGTACAACCTCATTCTGGGTGAGCTAAGAGTTCAGCAACTCCAGACAGGGCTAACCACCCTGTTTGGCTTCAGTGTGCTGGTTACTTTTGACAATTTACAACACGAATCATCTGGCGCATCCGCACAAGTTTCAACCAGTACACAGAAAAGATCAGCGGGGCCAACGTGCAAGGAACGTGGCAAGTGATGCAAATAGAAAGCTGGCTTAGTAGCTACTCGTTGAGTTCACGTCCGTGAAAGTGTTGGGCCAGTACACAGAAAAGATCAGCGGGTCCAACGTGCAAGGAACATGGCAAGTGATGCAAATAGAAAGCTGACTTAGTAGCTAATCGTTGAGTTCACGTCCGTGAAAGTGTTGGCATGAACCTGGTCAACCAATTGACCTGCACTGGTTGTCCCCTCCGTTTTGTGACAAGATTTGCGCGAGTCACTACCGCCGGCAAGCGCCTTTCGCCCAGATAAGTTTGGCTGAGTGAAGATCTCTGGTGAGTTCACGTGAAAGTGTTGGCATGAACCTGGTCAACCAATTGACCTGCACTGGTTGTCCCCTCCGTTTTGTGACAAGATTTGCGCGAGTCACTACCGCCGGCAAGCGCCTTTCGCCCAGATAAGTTTGGCTGAGTGAAGATCTCTGGTTCTCGCTGGCCCAGCATGATTCAGAGTCACTTTTCCACCCAGTTAACAATCTATATCTGTCTTGTTGCACACAAGCCACTCTTTGAAAAAAACTTTCCTGGTCGGTCGGCTATCACCATCAAAACCAGGTTATCGCTTGAATGGCAAGCACAATAGGACGAATCACTACCAACTGACACTCACCAAACCATTTGTAAGACAGCTTGCTATTCATGAGAATCTGAAGGGCATAGTGTTTAGCTGAAGCCAACCGGGGATCACGCAATGTCACTCTTGGAATCCCATTCCGACAGTTCACTCGCTTCTGGCATTTGCTCAAGGGTTGACACCAAAGCAGATCCTGGTCGCCCCCAGACGCTAGACAAGCTCACTTCCACAGTGCATTGCCGGTTCAGTGCCAACGCTGTCGCTGTATATTTCAACTTAGTTTTATTTTATGGTGGTTATCCGCTGCATTTGTGTTGTGCTCGTATTACTCCATCCATCGATACTTTCAAAATGTGCTCTCTGATTGCTGGGGCCGCGGATTACAGCTGTCTTTACTCTTGTTTGCATTTCTACATCGAAATGGGAGGTATAATTGGAATATCATGAATATCAAAGAAAAGATGACATGCCGATTCCATGAAGTTTACATTGCAACGTTAGTGTGGACTAAGCGGAATAACTGCTCCCGTTCAGAAGCACTATCCAAACAACAAATGTGAACGTAAGATTCACCTAAACAAGGTTGTTGCAGTTTCTTCCGGATAGCAGATTTTTGCGGATTAACAACATCACTGATAGACTATGGAACGATTTAGACAGTATTTTTTGCATAGTTAAAGCAGTTTTTGTGAGAAGTAAATTAAATGTGGATCGTGATCAAACTTGAGTGGTTCAATTTACCGGTGTGCAAAGTGAGTCTGTTTTATTTTCTTAAAAGTGATTACTGCACATCCATAGCCTACTCCTGTCATCGGTAAATGGAATATACCAACGTGGTTTTTTATATGAAAGCCACAGCTTACGTTGCTGAGTCGTGTGCAAACGAAGGTATGCCACA